CATATGTATTCACAGTGCGAAGAAACACAGTAAGAAGAAAAGAAAATATGAAAGATTAAGTAAAGTTTCGGAATTTATTTAAAGTCATATTAAATTCTAAGAAGTGATCAAGCGGTACAAGCCTATCGTCATTGTTTTCTTTTGATCAGAAGCAGTATATTATAGACTATATATGTATATATCTATTAACTATAAGTTACAAAAATATATATATATTGATACAATGAATATCTTAATTAATTTTAATGATTTTTTATTTTCGACTTAAACTAAAATATATATAATATAATGTACTAATTAAATTAGCACTTATTCAAAACACTATTTGTTTAGCGAAAGGTTAGTCGATCTACAATATATACCACTTAATAAATGCTGACTATGTAAGGGTATTTACATTGCATTTTCTTCAGAAGTAAAAATGAGAACTGAATTAAGGCTTGCTTCCCGTTTGGTGTATATTTGAACAAATTAAATTGTCGCATCTGGGGTAGTGCTAATCTACATAACAGGTCGGCAGATAAACTTCCATTGTCCATATTAAGCTATTTTACACAGTTTAACTACCACGTTCTTTGCAAGCAACCTTAAGCGAAAAGAATAAATTAAATCCATATCTTCAAATTCAATCGCTAGAATTTTTGTTATGATTTGGGTTAATATATAAATATTCTGCAGTTTGTATTTCAAAAACCTATGTTAACCTAGGCTTTGTGCATAAATCACTTATTATGTTAAGGAACATTATTGGAGCTGTGAAAGTCCCATAATAATTTTAATATTAGGAGAGGGTAATATAAACTGTTGATCCTTTCTTTAGAAGGTGACGCCCCAAATGATCGTGTTTCTGCAGACACTGCTTGAATTTTGACCCTTGAAAAACAAACATTCATCAGGTTACTGCTGAGCTATTGCCACCTGTGACCTGTGCCAAAAGCTGCAAAAATCACATCAAAATAATCCAGTACTCTAAGATTTCTCATGAAGAATAGTTGGATAAAGTTTTATATGTCATCTAAAATGTCATGAAGGCTCAAAAAAAATGATTGAAATAAAATTTGATTGAAATCTTATATATAAATCTCTTAAAACTAGAAAATGATTTACCCTGTATTAGCCGGGAATTTTTGAAAATAAACAAGCGGATGATCTAGCCAGGACTGCGGCAAAAACCGCTTTTGCAAGCCCTCAACCCTTTTGTAGGTTAAACTCGGGTATTAAAAAATAAATAATCAAGGAGATGGAGAATCGTTTGCGGCTGGTGTACTGGGAAGATTTCCCAGGACTTAGACAAAGCAAAGCACTGATTAAACCGTACTCCTATAAAAAATTTTATAGGACTTTAAAAAAGGTAATTTAAAGTTGCTAACGCTTCATTAGGGTCTGAAATATCACCTACATAAACTTTAATTATCTGCTAATTCGGAATGCAGCTAATACCTAAAGGCTGAGGAAACAACTATGCATATTCTTTCTGACTGTTCAGCTTTAATAACACACAGAGGAAATTTATTTCATGTAGAATTTCTGTCATCAGAACAGATTAAGAGCTCTTCTCCAGACTTACATCTGGATTTTGTTCACAAAGCTTTAAAGGGCTTTGTGTAATTGGAAGTGAATTTGGTACAATAGGACTCTTTTGGCCGCAGTACCGGGTGTGAGCGATTTTATGACAATGGTTTTAATAATAATAATAATAAAATAATACCCTGTATAAAAGAGTGTTTTTTTTTTGATTTTCTGAGTATTGCATATAGATGAATTTTATCTTATATTCTTAGATAAATCAATTTTAATTTAGCATCGTAATAAATATGAAGTTTTAACAATTATTATATTTTCGAAGGTCTTCAGTGAGCTTGACTTGGTTTGACTCTAGTTTCGAGTAGAATAGGAGTGTCGTTTCATATGTTCAGAAAAGTACAAGTTTTTATTTCAGTTTAAGTTAAGTAACTTAAACTTGAAAATCTACTTTTAAAAATAAATAAATCAACTAGCAATTATTTTAAGTTAAATACACAATAATAATTTATGAAAAAAAATTACATTTTTGTTTAATACTTTGTAGTTTATAAAATTTAATAATGAGAAAATATTATTATGTAGCACTAATGAATCACAAATCAAGGTGATTTTGTTTTGTTTTTTTTTTAAGAACTAAAAATAAAAGCTTATATGTATTTATTTTTCGAGTCATTTTGTATTAAAATTTTATTTTTATTTCAAAGTTTTATTTATTTTTACTTAAAAAAATCCAGGGTTCAGAAAAGCACTGTGCTGTGCACAAAAATGCAAAACACCACGCACAAATGTTGTGCGATTCTAAAATTTCACACCACAAATGTGGTGTGCGAAAATTTTTGTGCACATCTTAAGTGCACATCTTGTGTGCACAAACGAAACGCACATTTCACACGAGTGTGGTGGAGTGAAATAAAACTCGCACACGCATTCGTTGTTTGTGCCGAAGTTATTTCGCACAGCACATTGTGTGTGCGGCAGCCAACTTGCCCTCGCACACAACGTGTGCAGAAAAGAATACGAGAAGCACATTTTGTGTGCAGGCTCGAAAATAAAAATGCACCCAAATGTGCGGAGACGAAATGTCTACTGCACGTTTGTGTGAAATGATGATTTAAAAGCGCACAATATTATGACAAATATCGCAGCAAAATAGTACGGAAAACTGATTTGTATTAATTTTGGTCTTAATGCGAAATATTTTATTGAAGAAATAATTTTGTATTTATATTTTAATTTTGAATTTATTATTAGATTTACATTTATTGCTTATATTGCTTATTTTTTTAAGGTTTATTAATTTAAAATATGGGAATAAAGTTAATTTCACAATGTACTTGAAAACTTTGTTATATTCAATAGGTACATGAATTTAATAGAGAAAGAGTATTTGTTTCGAAATGTTATAAGTAAAGAGGATCGGTTCTACGGATCGTACTTTGAAAAAATTAAATATATCAATTTTGGACTACTTCATAAAATTTTATTTAATAGTAAGTTGTACACTAAGATTCGTTAGTAAGGTTATAAAAAGCAAATTAAATATTTTTTACAACAACATAAATTAATTTTGTTATTAGATTTCACTTAATTTTTTATCTTTAATTACAGTTTAAATTTTACAAAGTTATTGAAATAATTTAATAATTTAATATTTTAATTTCTTATTAAAAAATATATAATTTTTATTACATATTTTTTGAAATAAATTTTCATTTAATCTTATTAATAACATTGCTGAAATATTTTTTTCACTTAAATTATATCTCTGCTTACTTAGCACAGTAGAAAGGGCGCTAAAATCCTGCTACCTGTTCAAGAAAATATTTTCTTAATCTTTCGCGTTTTTTAATGAATGTTAGATACTCTACCTAAGTGAATACATATTTCTGGAGAAGAAAAATACCTATTTGTGGCCCTCCCGTATTATCTTTTTTAAACTGTTGCAAAATTTATTAAACAAATACACCAATACCAATACCTGCTACCTGTTCAAAAAAAATATTTTCCTAATCTTTCATATTTTTTGGGCATAAAAAAATCTTCCTAAAATATGTTTTTATTTTTTTTAAACTGGTGCAAAACTTTCCAAACAAATACTTTAAGTTCACTTACTATATTTGCATTTAAAAATGCTCAAAGTAATATACAAAAAACTAATATTTTAAGTTAAAATACAAATAAGGTTAAGACAGTTATAATTTTTAGTTTACATTAATTAACAAAAATAATTATTTTAAATATTTGTTAATTTATGCAATTTTTAACATAAATTACGATCCCAACGAACGCAAATATCAATTTTTTCAAAATTTGTAACAAAATAATATTTTCTATTTCAAACAAAATTGTGAAGTTCCTGTAATTTTTTCCACCCTTGGGTGCAAGCGCAAAATCGCACATTTGTGCACGTTTGTGCAACCGCACATTTGTGCACGTTTGTGCAGTCGCACATTTGTGCACATTTGTGCACGTTTGTGCAGTCGCACATTTGTGCACATTTGTGCAAACGTAATATGAGCAGCACACTCGTGTGCAAAGAGAATTTTTTGTCGCACAGTGCGGTGCGAGCATAAAATTTTCTCGCACATCTGATTGTGCACATTTTTAAAAATCAGTCACACAGCACAAATGTGTGTGCACGAATCTGTGTGCACAATCATCGCTTTGTGCGATGTGAAATTTAAAATCGCACAACAAATTTGAGTGCGTGCATTTTTTTTCTTAACACCACAAATGTGCGTGTGCATATTTTAAAAATAATTTCCACTCGCACAGTGCAGTGTGCGATTTTGTGCACCACATTCCGAACTCTGAAAAAATCATTAAATTTTTAGGAAATGCAATAAAGTAATTAAAATTTTACGTTTTCTTATTTGTTGTAAAATTTATCACAAAAATAAAAATCAATCTGAAGAATTTTAAAAATGACTAATTATTAAATCTCATATGGTTTTGCATAATTATTGACTCAAGTAATTTAAGCAAAAACAAAATAAAAACATTCTTAAAAATATTCTTTAGCAATATTTAAGAGATATGACAAGAGATAAAATAAAACATTTTTTAGCAATACATTTTTTGTAAGTTCATTTAACTTTTTCCCATCAAGCATGACTAAAATCTTAAAAGTATCTGAAAATCGTAAAAACGAAACTGTTCAAAAAAATAAAAAGAATATATATAAGAACTGCAATTCTTTTTATAACTTAGCATTGTGCCCGAATTCCTTTGTTGTCTTCATTATTTGTGCCGTTGTTTTTATAAATACACACATTTATCATGTTAAAACCGAAATATGACCGCCCACCTTTAAAACCTTTCAGATTTTATATACAAAGAAATCGATTTCTGACTTCTTCTGTTCATTTAATGTCATGCATTTCTGTCTGTTGCATTTTACAAGTATTCTTCCTCTTCCACGTATCTGTGCGTTAAGCAAACTTTTAAGCTCACTTAGTCATCCAAATGTAAAATACTGTAACAATAGAGTCATCATAATGATTATCATCAACAAGAGTTTCATCATCACCAAAAGATTCGTCATTCATCATTATTACATTCATATCACCTACAACGTCTTCTTTCAGTTTATTCAATTTTTTCCGTGGTTTTCCCCAACACAACGTCTACACCAGCTAGACTTCGGCAAGATTTATGCATTTATGAGTATATAAGAAGAGCATATATATACTCTTACTTTTTCACTATACACACATATACAAACTTTCTTATGTAGATAAAAGTCGAATATAATACTTATTTATACTCAAACATATTCGAAATCTTGTCAAAGTCTAGCCAGTGTAGACGTCTAGCAAGTTTACAAATACTATATTTTATAACTTCATGATGTTTTATTGTTACTTAGATACTTTGCTTTAGTGTATATACTATTTTAAATACTATTTTTTTCATAATTTTTTTTTTTTGGCACTTAATCATCATTAAAAAAATACCACAAAAATGTGAAAAACTCCTGTAGTGTATCTACAACTTCAAACCGCAGAAATGTAATAGAAGTATCTGAAACTGATTCATGTTGTGCCATGCCATGATTACCAACTATACAGTAAGAGCTACTGATGTAGATTTTTTTTTATATTTCTGTTCATATGTGAACATATATATGCACAAGTATAAATATATATAATATATTTTTTGTATCTTCATAGTTGAAGTACACAAGTATTTTTAAATGTTGGCGTACGTATCTGACAAATTAATGATAAATTATTTTTATTTTATTTAAATATGATTTAAATTTTTCTGTGCGACCTTTAAAATAAAAAAAAAATTTCACCCAAATTCATTTTTTATGGATAAAATATTGTTGCTATTATTTTTTCAAATGAAAGTGAAATAATAATAAACAGTGGCACCTATTAAAAAATTTTAAATTTCCACTAAACTAATGATGTATATTTAATACTGTATGAAAAATGTTTATTAATATTCAAATTTTGACGATTGCACTCCAAAAAATTGTTAATAGACAGTTACAACGATACACTTACTTATATACTTATTTCGTCTAAACAACCCGTTACCGGGTTTCGGCCTGATGCAGCATACTTCTTCAGCCTTGTACATCAAGTCCGGTTAGTGCTCTCTTAACTTGATCACTCTACCGGAGACATGGTCTACCTTTAAGCCTTCTTCCTGCAACTACTACATCAAATACCTTTTTCGCTGGAGCGTTTCCTCACGACATGACCAAATCAATGAATTCGCTGAATGCTCGTGATAAAGCTTGTACAGCTCATGGTTCATTTAGATGTGATAGTTGTCGCTAACTACTAGAACACCAAAGATCTTACGAAGAACTTTTCTAACGAACACTTTCCGTGCTGCTTCATCATTTTGTGATAAAGTCCACACTTCTGTAGTATAGGAAGAATGAGCAACCTACAGAGCGGTTGTTGAGAAAGAGCTCTATACCCCAACTAACTGCTGAGCCTATAATAACACCTATTAGCAATGATGATGTCATTGTCATTGTTTGTTAAACAAAGCGATATAATACATATTTCTAAAAAACACTTATAGTGAATATTTAGTGTTATTTAATATATTTTTAAGATCAAATCAATAAATTCAGTTGTTTAAAAATAAAATTTCTGGATGCAAAAACTTTCACTATTATAACACTTTTATTCGAAATTAGTTCCTATGCCAAAGAACATAAAAATTTTAAATAATTAATTTCTAGTATTTTTTTTATTTATTGATAAAAACTAAAAGCACAACAATTTAAAAGAATTTATACCATTTTCACTAGGTGCATATTCAACCAAGCTAAGCTTGTCTTGGAAATCATAAAGTTCGATGACCGACCTATATTATATGAACCTTGTGACAATATCTTGCCTAAATACATTCGATAGTTAATTATTGTTACTTTTAAAAAAGATAGAAAGCTATTATATACATATATTATTTTATAATTGTAAGTTTTTAATAGTATATTTTTTTAACACCCTGTATATATAATTTATTTTGTTTTTCAATTAAAACCGAACATAATTAAGTTATATTATTAAATAGTCTACAGCATTAATAGAATTGCAGATTCCTCTTTATATATTGATTTTTTTTATAATAGTGCTACAATAAAGCTTCGAAAACTGTTAAAAAGTATTTCTTTGTGTTTATTGTAATAAATTGAGTATCATAAATAACTAGAATTATGTATTAGAGTATCATGTTATTGAGTAGTATGTTCTAGAATAGCAATTATATTGTGCTTATCGCAATTAATATTATAACAGATGTGATATATTGCATTAAAATATGTGTAATATATATTATGATAAGTATAACCTTTAGTTTTAACACAATATTAATCATTTAACAAAATGTCATCAAATATACATATATATATTATATTGTTTTATAATTTTATTCAATAAATTAGTAGCTTATAATAATATAGATTCAAAATTGTCGTAATAGCTATTCGTAAACGTGCTTCATATAAATGGTATTATAATACAATATGTATTTGAATAAAATTAATAAATTATTTTCCATGGCACACGTACTGAGATAATGAGTCAGAAGTCGAAGAAAAAAATAAAAAATAATTACTTAATATAATATGATTAAAAATATAATATATGTAAGTATGTATTTACATTTAATGAGTCAATACTGAACAATTTAATAATAAAAATACATAGTAATATATATATTTTTTATATAGACATATACGTTTCTAATCTGATTTGCTTGGTTTATAAATATTTTACTATTTGCATATGAAGTTGTACTTACAAAGCTTAATCACACAGAAATTAATAGAATGCAACAGACGTTTTCTAATTCCGAGTTAAAAAAAGAATTGAATAATATTGAATATACATATAAGTAATAAATATGTTAGAATAGGATAAAAATCAATAGGGTACTGAGTGAAACAGAGAAGAGCACTTTTGTCATAGCATATTCCGAGTTAAAGAAAGAATTAAATAATATTAAATATGTACAAATATATATATTTAAGTCGAATGGAATAGGATTAAAATAAATGGGGTATAAGCACACAAATAGAAAAAAGCACTAAGTCTATGACAGATTCCAAGTTAAAAAATATTAAATATACAAATAAAAGAAGAATGAAATGGGATAGAAATCGATGAGGTTTTTATTAACAACGGTGATGAACACTATGACCATGGTAGATCTTTTGTGCTAGAAATCGACCCTTAACGAATAGAAAATTATCTACTCTTTAAACAAAGGTCAGAATGTCACTTTTGAAGAATTTTCTAATATCTTAATAATAATGTTCATTAAAAATAATAATAATCCCTAATGTCCTAATATCCTAATATTAATTTAAAAAAAATGAATTTTCCTGTACTAGCATTGTTCTCCTTTTTCAGATCAAAAGAGTAACTAGAAATATAACTATATCCAAAGTATAAAGATGATTAATACTTTATAATATTAAAAAATATCTAATTTATCTAGAGCAAATATCACAACTTTGAGGAATGGATTACAAATATTCATTTATAAACGTATATAAATATATCCTGAAAAATATGAAGGTACATCGGATAGACCTTTTAGGAAAAGATACTCTACAGTGAATATGATAGAATGATGAGTACCGGGTGATAATAAACTAAATGGGTAATACTTTCCTTATTTTTCTCTAACTCTAATAGTTATGATAGAGTAAACACAACCATATAAACTGAAAGTTATAATAAGATATCCTCTTTTAACAGAACAAAGTTGAGGTTGCTAGTGGGATATCTAACGGGTCACCACGGGCTACGTTACCATCTCAACAAAATGGGCCTATCCGAAGAGATAGATTGTAGACTCTGCTTGGAGGCAGAGGAGACAACCAGCCACATTCTATGTGAATGTCCAGCTTTGATCTGGCCCAGGAGGAGATCACTGTGTCGGGAATTGCTATCACCTTCCGACATTAGGAGGTCCTCAACCACCGACATTTTGGCCTTCATTCGAACGGCGGAATGTCTTTTGTTCAGTTAGGATCTGTTGTAGCGCAAAATATCAATCATGGTCGCGGTGCTCTGCTCAAATAGGAGCTAGTACCCTGTTCTTTCTTATTTTTATTATTAACTGAAAGATTGATTTCTTTTTGTGGTAAGCCGATCCCTGACTTATAGCTTGTTTCTTTTAGATTAAAGAGTTATTGAAAATATATGAAAATAGAAAATATATGATCGATTGGAAGTGCTATAGTACCTTAATGTAGCACCAATATTGTGAAAAAAGGTAACAACACAACTTCTCTTATTCGAAAGTGTCCTATGTCTATTCTTTAGGTTTACAACCTAAACGTCATAGTTTTTTCGGGCTGTCGAATCCAAATATCCATTGACAGTTAATGTAAAAGGACATATACCTATTGCTTTGGTTGGTATTGGGCCCTTATCACTGTAAGAATGGTAATCTTTTCTAAAAATTTTCTGATTCAGACAAGAAGAGTAAATAAAAGTGGTGCCATTATATTTTATTTTGTTTTATTTTATTTTATTTTATTTTATTTTATTTTATTTTATTTTATTTTATTTTATTTTATTTTATTTTATTTTATTTTATTTTATTTTATTTTATTTTATTTTATTTTATTTTATTTTATTTTATTTTATTTTATTTTATTTTATTTTATTTTATTTTATTTTATTTATATTTTATTTTATTTTATTTTATTTTATTTTATTTTATTTTATTTTATTTTATTTTATTTTTTTATTTTATTTTATTTTATTTTATTTTATTTTATTTTATTTTATTTTATTTTATTTTATTTTATTTTATTTTATTTTATTTTATTTTATTTTATTTATTTTATTTTATTTTATTTTATTTTATTTTATTTTATTTTATATTATTCCTAAGAATGAAAATTTTACAGTATTGCTTAAAATTGCTTATTTAAACAATAAATTGCTTTTTTAACATGAAATTTTAAATTCCTTTTATAACCGCAAAAATTTATATATATAATATATTTTTATTAAATTACTTTTTACCTTTTATATAATTAAAAATAAAAAAAAAATTTAAT